GGGGGAAAAATAAGAAATCATTGCGAGTCAAAAGTCAAGGTCCCCCAGGGTGTGTGAGAGTAAACTGGCTTCAGAGCGACTACTGTATAAAAGGAGGAGGAGGAGGTTTGGCGGGAGGATTGACTGTGTAATCCAGACCTGCTGAAATAACAGAGAAGCCTGATTCTCCCCTCGGCCTGTTCCCAGTCTAGTGTAATCACACGGCGAGCCAGTGTTGACAGGGGCCTGTGTTTGGCTTGGATGGCTGTGCTGGGGACACGGCGTCTGGCTGTAGCCGGCGGGGCTTGGGGGTTGAGAAGACGTTTCGGGGTGGGGGGTGGTATGTTACAGCTACTGCGAGGCAGGCCGCCTCGCCTCCTCACCTTTCTTCTCTTGATCGTGGCCAACACGGAAGCAATCAGAGGTTGTGAAAACTGTCTCTGCTGCCCAGATTCCTTTTGAACTGCTGTGGGGAAAGTGCCCCGAGGGAACACCTTGTGATAAATCCACTGACCCTCTTTATCTCCTCCTGCTCTGGGGCAGGTTGGATTTTCACTGATAAAACAGCACTAAGATGCCGGGACTCCGTTGTGTTCCTATCTCTCTCTGATGTCGTCGGATAGAGATTAAAAGAACAAATGCAGGAATGCGCCGCGGCTAATACGCGAGAACCTCGGGGGTTATCAGGTGAACCGCAGATATTTGGAAAGGGAATGTTATGATTCCGTGTTCGCACACGGTTGATGCTAACGCGCTCAGTCACGATATTTCAACACCCGGATTCCGCCGGTGCACTCGCTCACACGCGACTGGGCAGTTGGTATGTGACGGTTAGTTTGTGCAAACTCACACATCGCTCTGGTGCGTGTAGACCCGGTCGAAGAGAGCCTCTGGAGCCATCCATTTCACGGGGAGACGACCCTGAAACAAAGGAGACAGAAACGCTTGGGTCAGCAGAAGCACTCTGTACGGAGCTGACAACCAAACACTCACACAAACACACAAACTTCAGCCTGGTCGCGCTGCCACCACAGCTTGAACTTCAGCTAGCTTCAGAAATCTGATGACCATTTCGGTGCTTCATTCACAGCAACGCTTTTGCTTGAAAACACATTCATATCAACACTGTGGAATCCTTTTATACACTTTTAATTTTGCTCAATCTGCTCAATTCTACTTTTGTACTGCGACCCGACCGTGACACTGAAAGAAAAGACTTTCAGCCATATGTAATAAGCTGCTGCTGCATTCAATACCATCCCCTCGTATCGCTTCAAACACATAATATTTTCCTAAAAGAGAGCACCGAAGGAATGAGCCTCACATTCGTGGTCTTTTTGTAGTAGTCTATATTGTGCACGTCTCTGGCGAGACCGAAGTCGGCGATCTTCATAACGTTGTCCTCCGTCACAAGGACGTTTCTGGCAGCCAGGTCTCTGTGGATGCACTGAGGGAAGAAGAACAAATGCATCAAACACACGGTGCATTGCACTCACGCATACACGCAAATATACTGAAACACTGATGTAAATTGACAAGTTTTACTTTGCACTATGAAACTGAAAACTTTAAAAGCCTCAAATTTAGTTTAAACTTAGATTTTTAATTCGCTAATCGAATTATCTTTCAACATCACAATTAACACATTGTTAATAGACTTGATTTCTTCCTGTTAAAAGGGAGTTTTTCCTCCTCACTGTTGCCAAGTGCTTGCTCATAGGGGGTTGTCTGATTGTTGTGATTTGGTGCTATATAGATAAAACTCAGATGAATTGTCTGCTATCTAAAAATCTTTCCTGTTTTCTCACAATGTTTAGAAGTTAAGCGCAGGCCGAAGCATCCTTTTATATGATAACTGAGTTAAAGTGAAGCAACGTGGCGAACCTTCTGTGAAGCAAGATACTCCATGCCTCGGGCAACCTGGTAGGCACAGGACACCAGGTCTTTGAACGTGAGCTGCTCATCGGGGATTTTGCACGTGTCGAAGGAGTAATCCATGCCCGGTGGCCGCCGTGCACGCAGGTACTCCCTCAGGTTGCCTTTGGAGGCGTATTCCACCAGGACATACAGAGGACCTGCACGGGAAACAGAGAACAAATATGACTTTCATGGCAATGGTTAAGTCCTGCATTAGTTCTGTTATTACTGCACTCTGCGCTCACCATCCTGTGTGCAGGCTCCGAGTAGGTTGATGATGTTTTTGTGTTTCCCAATCATCTTCATCATCTCCATTTCTGACACCAGGTCTGATAAATCTTTATCTGTGGCGTCATCTGAGATAAGAAAAGCAATGGAGCATTTGTACTGACGAAAATACGAACTGAAGCAATCAAACCAACGCAAATCCAGTACACGAGACAAACAGAACAACAGCAAGCATGGTAGCACTGTCACTGCCGAGGTCATGTAATTATTCCTGGAGGGCAGCCACAGTGATTACTTACCTTTCAACATTTTCACAGCAACAGTGAGCGACTTGTTGGGCTTCTCTTTGTCGATGCCAACAGCCTCAGCCATAACCACCTGACCGAAGCAGCCCTCTCCCAGAGGTTTACCCAGAGTTAGCCTGAAACAAGTGGCCAGATTTCAGACTTGGAGTTCAGTGTTTATACTCAAAAGACTTTAAGTAATTTGATTACATGTAAATTTCACATATGCACAATGTAAAATGTGAAATATATTTTACTTGACTGAATCATTTTTTTGAGCGTGTGCTGCAGTGTGCTTTTTTCCTCACCGTGTCCGAGGAAACTCCCATTTGGGGTCGGACGGCAGCTCCAGCTCCGAGACGTTGGCGAGCATCGGGCCGTCGCTGGACGACAGACGGGCGATCCTGACCAGCGGCGTGTTTGAGTTCATGGAAGAGTTGGAATCCAAGGACACCTGCTTGGGTACAAAAGAATAAACTGTTATAGTCTCTGAAAAAGAGTTTGGTGACAGGCATTCAAATAAAGACAGAGGGAAAAGAGAAATCTAACCGTGATCTTTAACCAAATATTTTTTTAACTAAATAATGAATAAGTAATTCCTTTTTCAGATCAGTTTGACTCTTTATTATTTATTCAAACAGTCCTAATGTTTTTGATGTTTTTGAAAATGAACCAGCCCCTGAAACATAAAATATATTCAAAAGAAATCATTTCTCGTGACATACTGAAAATCTTGACACTCTTTTGGGGGGTGAAAAAAAACAAAACCTGACAAAAATACATCCAGTGCAAAATCCAGTCAAATTCAAAACAGCTTTGAAGTTTAAAGAGCAACATTCAGTGACTTGAGATAAAACCCTTTTTGGGAAACATCACACATCTCGGGACCAGACCAATGTCAGTGACTTTTACAAACAGCAGGCCCGTGGCTGCGCACAGGAGGAAGCGAGAGGTAACAAAGATGAATGAAGGAGGATGCAGAGGTGGGCGAGTGAGTGGCGAAGTGGGGTGGACATCTCTATCCATCAACAAGCTCCATTTCTGGATCGGCGGTCATTCCGCTGAGCCCTCGGGCTCGGCATCCTCCCGCCATTTATCTGACTGCTGGGGAAAAAAACGATGGCTCGGGCCTGCTTTTTGATAGATCTGTTTATGTCAGGGTCTGCCGGCTCAGACCCTTCAGGTGGGGTCCTGAAACAAACATGTCCACTTACCAGACTTCTTGACTGGAGGAAAATGAGAAAAAAGGGCCCTGACCACAATTTCAGAGGCATGAAAAGTAATATCTGATAGAACATGCCAGGAGCTTTACAGGAGATTTACTCAGAGTTATGAAAAAGAAAGGAGAGAACAGGGAGATTAGCTTTACAAAAACGAAGCAAAGATTATAGAAAAATGCAATAAGAACTTTCCCTGCACAACCTTATAAGACCATTTATATGAGCGCCGCATAAGTAGAAATGATTTAGAGGCTACAATTAAAAAATGTTTCGATAGCTGAGGTTTCTACTTGATATAACTTAACAATACTTCTTTATGTACCAAAAAAAAACCCCAACCTCAGACTGTATAACAGCCTTTACAGCTGAAACCTTATCGTGGTTTTAAAAGTCTGTTTGTTTTCCAAGAACTGCATTATGGCTTTCAAATAATATTTTCTTTTCTAAAAATGCATCGTTTCCATTTTGAGACGCACAACCCTTTAATTATGGAGTCGGAAAGCTGGATTTTGCACAAAACACACAGACACACATAGTGGCTATGTCCTGCACACAGTGGGAGCCAGCAGGGTGGGGCCGAAGAGATAATCGCAAACTCGTCTACATGTTAGACATTCAGACAATCTTGGCATTCAGAGAGAAATGGTAAGATGCACATCCCTGCCTGGATTATAATTACTGTAAGAGACCAAAAGTAATGAGCTAAAGGCTCACAGGGATTAGTGTGACTGCTCTAAATAATCTGTTTCTGACTGCCTTGTTTTGTTCTTGGCTCTCTGTGATGTCATTCAAAGTGGCTATCCTTAATATGCTCAACCCAGACTCACAGCTCTGGCTCTGAGCACAGAAGCCTATTTGTCCCACCTCTTGTTCGACCTTCTCTTTAGAGAAAAGGTTGAAGGTAAAAAAGCTTTTTTCAGATGGAAGATAAACTACAGTACGTAGGATAAATCAGGATTTCTTGAACTGTGATTCATGCAAAGCTAGAGTCCAAAAACAATAACTTGGACTTATAAAAGAGCGTAAAGTTCCCTTTTAACCCCGTACTGCCAAGTGTATCATATCTGATATCTTAATTTTTGAGGCCTCATCAGTGTGTTTTTATTTCTCCTAATATGAATTTGCTTGTTTAAGGGAAACAAACCGTGAACAATAAATTGCACAAAATGCTATTTGTAGCAGAAATTATACAAAAAAAAAAAAAATTATCGTGATTTAACCTAAAAACTGAAAGTCCCCTTCATATATCTGTTAAAAGTTAGCATTAGAGCTGCTCACAGTAAAGCATAGTAAAAATTGGTTTATATTAGCTATTTGGCAACATATAAGTATCAGCATTTATAACGGCATATAAATAATAATTAAAAAAGTAAATAAGAAACAAAGAAAACACACTTTAGCCATTATATCAGTGCTGACGTTGTATAGTTAGTCCACAAGAGGGCACTCTGCAACTGATGACAACACAAGTGTTTGAGAGCGTAAACTGGTGACGACGACTCGCGATCCGATCCGCAACTGATCTTAGCAAATGATCCACGAATAAAAAACTGCATAACAAATGTTAAAGAAATGTTTTTTCGTGCGTTTTAACTCTTACCCCCAAAAAGATGACATCTGACGGCGTCCCCCGTACAGATAATGACGAGTTTTAGCATCTCAGTATAAATCAATAAGGATGTGGTGTGATGACCATTATTTAGAAGCAGTTCCTGTTTTTTTAAGGGTAGCTGCATAAGCAGAGACCAGCTATGCTAACGTCTGATGCGCGCCCAATAATTTTGTTCTATAAGCAGTCCTGAAATATGACAGAAACCACTAAGGTCAGAAAAGAGCTTGAAAGGTTAAAATATCAACATCAGTCTTAAAAAATCCTGCATCTGTCTCTCTCTGAGTGTTTACTAACGAGTCAAGCTAGCGTCCCCAGGTTTTAATCTTTATGCTAAGCTAACCCGCTACTAGCTCTAGCTTTGTGTTTACATAAAGAGATGATCAGTCCTTTGTCTCAACTCTTGTTGGAAGAGTGCTCAACAATTATTTTACAAAATAAATTATTCCTTCAGCCCTCGAGACTTGCTTTAATTTCAATAACAGCCTGTTCGATAACAAACTGAGCATGATTAGCCTGATTTTAGTAGATACTGTATCTAAGCTTAGTCCTGAAGTCACGAAGAGTTCTTCGGACTAAAAGCTGCGGCAATGCAGCTGCTCCACTCTGTGTTTCTTCGCAAACAGTTGATGAGAGAGAGTGTGTGATACACTCAGAGTGAAATCTAAAACCAACACTGACAGTCACAGGAGGGCATAAATATCCCTGAGCCAAATCTGCTCCAAGATAAATGTGAACACATGTCACCAGTGTGCTGCCGTCCATCGTCAACACAGCGCCAATTAAACAACAGGACAGACAGACGCGTAGAAACCTTCTTTAACCAATTTATACTTTGTTCTATTATTTAAATGACAGATACCCCAAACTCTTCCTTTCTTAGTTTGACCTGGGTTATATACTGAAAGCTGCATTAAACAGACAAGCAGAGAGAAGAAGGGTTTTGGGAAAGTCTTGTGCAAATCTTGTATCTACTTTCTGTTACCTGTCTCTTGAGGGGGAACTTTGACAGTTTTTGCACGGGAGGCGTGGGCAGAGTCTTCTGCGTGGTCATCCTCATACGACAGAGGATTGCGATGACCACGGCGAGGATGAAGAGCACGCAGCCTGTCACGTAGATAAGGATGTCGGCGTAGTAGTCTTCCTTTTGTGGACTCACTGCTTTAGGAGGGAAAATGTGAAATGTCAGTTGAAATTCACCAAATTCACACAGCATTTTGTTTTAATTCCCACTCAAAAATAGCTTGCTTTGTTCAGTAGCACACTTCAACCAAATGGATTTTTAGTGAACATTTTCTGTGAAGAAATATCCATAAATCAAAAAAAAAACAGATCAGAAACTTGTCGTTCCTCACTGAAAGCTCGCATTCACACCCTGGGTTGGGGCAGCAACCCACAGTGTGATCATCGTGTAGTTTTATCCTGCTGCAGGTAATTGCACCTGTGATACGCTTTTCCTCAGGGAGGCAATTATTGTCTTGAAAAGCAAAAGCTGAAGTGTCGTTAAATTGCCTCATAGCCCAGAGACATCTGAGCAGACGATCTGCTCTGATTAAAAAGCGCCTTTCAGTGAAGGATGGATTGCATGTTCGGTTGGTTAAATTAAAGGGGTGGTGACAGAGCGTCGACGCACTTAAAATATGTGCTTACAAGTAGCAATCTATGATAATTAGGTTTGAAAATTGATGTTAAATATTGTGCTGCAGAGCAAAACAAGTTTCGTGGCGTTTCTAACATTTCAGGTAACACAGGTGGGAGAAAAATGGACCCACAGAGTGAAGAGTATACCTGGAAGCACCGTCAGCCAAGCAGAGTGGTGAGAATAGCCGATAGAGTTCCCTGCGAGACAAGTGTACTCGCCCGCATCCTCAAAAGACACATTGGTCAAGAAGAGAACCTCTAGCTCCTTATCTGTAGTGTTAATGCCAGCCGTCTGTGGAGGATGAGAGGGAGGAGAGGGAAGAGAAAGAGACAGAGAGAGAAGATATATCGTAAGGCGAAAGCTTCTTAGAGGAAACACCAAATGCACCCTGGAGGAAAGGACAGTCCTGTTTACTGTTGTCAGCACCATCACCCACACCTGAAAACACCCAAGCAGCACCTACACCACGCTGTGAGACAAGCTCGTTGGTTCAGCCTAACGCCACAGGCACTCTTTGATGTAATGAACTCCTATCAAGAATTTTCTAGACTGCAGCAGTGATTTACTTTCATATGTGGAATCGTAAGACACTGGCATCCATTTCCACATTTAGAACATGCAGAAGTGTCATAACAGAGTTTCCTAACACAAAATATTTCTTACAGACTTCTGTAAGCTTCTTTGATAAGGAGAGTTTTCTGTTGCCTCCAAACGCACCCGTGAGTTTAAACTGAACCACGTACCTGACCTGATGACAAAGCTTGCCTTTGGTTCTGGACTTGCTTATGAAGGTCTTTGTGTGTGTGTGAGAGGAAAGTAATTTGCACCTTTGGATCAGTGTTTTTCTAGGAATGCCTCAAGGATCAGTCCTAGATCCTTTATGTTTTTAAAAGAAAACAAATTCAAATGAGCACCGGGTTTTGTAAAGATGTTTTAAAAAGATATTTTTAGTTTATTACTGCTGCAAGATGTCATTACCAAAGTGGGATTTCACCTGAATTTTTTACGAGTAAAATTTAGAGCGCCAGATTTATTAAATGGTGCAAAAATAGCGCGAGCGCAATCCCCAAATAGAGCTCAGAGGCCTGGTTAGTTTTATGGGTGATTTACAAAAGCGCCATAAAGCACAAAAAAAACTTTTTTCCCCCAGCTTTTTAAATTGTGCAGATATTTAACG